AGGTAAGTGATTTAACACGTGAAAAAAGAGGATAAAAAAAGGTAATATAAATTCAAATATTTATCAACAAATGAGGAAATCTTTTATTTTACATATATAGCCGATGGATCTAAAAGAATTACTCAATGTAAGTTAAATTATTATTGGGAGTACTGTTGGAACAACTTTTTTGTCCCACATTTTTATATAACTTTCACATATCATTAAATGAGTAAATGCATTTAATATCATGAATCTCATATGAATTTAAAAAATAAATTATTTTAATGACACATTTAATTGTATAAAAAAATAAGAAAAAAAGATTATACAAATATCATTTCTCTTATTATTGACTCCATTATGCATCTAAATATAGTAATAATAGTTTAAGCATGATAAGAATGCATACTTATTTTAAGTAACATAATTTTCATAATATAATGTAGTATTAGATGATGTGTATTTATTTGTGCGTGGTTCACAAGTGGAAAGAATTAATAAATGACAATATGACACTATAAAGCAATTATATCTAAAATATTTTAAAATATTGTACATAGAGCATTTTGTTTGTTCTTCAAATATGTTATAAGCTATAACAGTTAAAACTTAATTTCAAAAGAAGAAGGTCTATTGGTCTAATGGTTCAATAATTTAATGTGAGCTTTTTTCATCATGGCAGAATTCAATTCTCCTATCCACTCCTATTTTCTCGAATCACTTGCCCTAATAAAATTAAAAAGAAAAAAGAAAAAAAACTTAATCTCAAAGAGAGAGAGAGAGGTTTTGTGGTATAAGCTACTGAGGTTAATGTATGTGTATAAAATGAATACTATTGAGAAAATTAGGAGATTCATTATTAAATGTACTCTCAAAATAAACAAATAGTGGGATTAAATGGGGTAGAGTGAGTGCTGTCAATTTTGTTTTTAGGTGGGAAGAAGAGTCAGAAGACAATGAAGGAAAGTTCGAAAGGGAAATTAATGGGCTGTGCATGAAAAGAACAGTAAATGGGCTGACTGCGAGCCTGTGACGCGACGTGGAGTGTAATAATGCGGGTGGGGTCCACGTGCAATTGTCAAAGATGGCAATCGAGATGGGTGACTTGCTGAGCTGGCAATGCTGAGGTATGATACAGTGCTTTGCCGGAGCATTTTAAGATTTGTGACTGTCTTGTTAATTTCCAGCTACAATATTCAGACTCCGTCATCGTAATTTTGAGAAAAATGATTATATCTGATAATATTAAATTATAAAATAAAAATAATTAAATAAAAAAATTTTAAAATTGTAAAATAAAAAATTTTAAATTTAATGTTTATTTAAAATGAAAAAGGGGGTTCTGTAAACCAAATTATTATTTAATCTACATCAGAGGCTGTCCCCATTCCATGGCAAGGGACACTACAATAAAAATTAAGTTAAATCTCTAATATAATTCTTAAATTATTATACAGACACTCAATTTAATTTTTGAATTAAAAAAAAAATTAATTTGATTTTTAAATTATTACACGAATCTTTAATTTGATCTTTATTATTTATTAAATTACCCAAAATTGATTATTTTTTTAAAAAAATGATAAATCTCATTATTAACATAACACGTAATCATTAAATTATTATTTTGTCATTAAATAATAAATATATCAATTGTTTTTTTATATAAAATGACTAACTTGAGACTAAATTAGTAAACAGTTAAACTAAATTAGGAGTCCATACAATAATTCAAGGACCAAATTAAGAATTTTTTTAGTTCAGGCCAAATAAAAAGTTCCTACAATAATTCAGGGATCAAATTGAGGTATTAACCAAAAAATTATGATTTCATTTTTCTTTTTTCTTTCCTTTTTTTTTTTTTGTTACCATTAAAGGAAGGTGGTTGTAGTTGTACTGCTCATTCACAATAAATAGAGACTGTTATTTTAGCTTGATTTTTTGCTATATAAAATTACATGATCCATAATGAGAAACTGAATTTGTTATCTGACAAGGAACAGGTAATGACCCAATACAGAGAAAAAGCTCCACATATGGGAGTTCATCATCACAACAAAGCTATGAATGCAGCCAACAAAAGCAGAAAGAAAAAGAGGTCAAGAACAATCATTCGTTGCTCCCTTTCTGTCTTGTAAAATTGTACCATTGAAAACATTAACTAGGTAGCTAGGCATCCTCTTACACCCCCAAAATTCTGATGAATTTGAATTCGACAACCACAACCCCGATAAAGAAGATGGTAAGAAAATGAGAAGGAAGAGGTAAATTTCATGCCTGATGTAAAAAGTCAATTGGCGGTAGTGGTACCACTGATTAGTGGTGAATTAGATATGTGAGTGAGTGAGCGAGCTTGAAATTTCCACTGACGAAATTAGCCACCTCCTGCCTTGAGAGTGTTACTCAACCTGCAAAACAATTTATATTCTCTCCAATTGAGCTACTACTCGATAATACTTGAGAAACTTGCAAACAAAAATACACAAGCCCGCAGCATGTAAACCAAAAATACAAGGGATGGAGCCATCTCCATTCAGGGTTCATCTTAAATCAACAAAGATAACACTCAACGCAATTGATGTTTTCATTTTTATGTCAACCATATTAATGATTCAGAGGCCCAAGCATGATATCAAGAGGAAAGCAGTGTTTGTTATTTGCTATCAAATCAAACATTGCTGGATTGGCCTAAAGAAGCACATTGCTGGGATTTCCCCAAATGCAGATAAACAAGAATAACCCTTTCAACTTTTGATTAACTATAAATATGTTTTACAAGCATAAATAGAATACGCATGATATTAAGAGCAAGGCGATACTTACTACTGAAACATTGATGTCCTATTTTGTTTCCTTTTCAATGAAATGCCATGCATTATAGACATTGAAAAATCCAATTTGAAATATCTTCCATTTATTTTTAGGTCGACATAATCAATCATGTGGTTATAAAATTCCCACCCAAAATTCATTTAAGTTATTATTTCTGATTCTTGTCTTTCTTTCCACAAACTTTAAATTTCTCATACAATGACCATAGTGAAGAAGGCCAGAGAATAATTTAGATCTCATACAATGGAAAAACATACAAAGTTCTTGCTCAAAGCTTTATATTATGCTACCAAATGACTGTATAGTTTAAATAAAAATACCAACACATTTCACATATTAGTAGTGAACCATGCTTACCAGTCCAAGCCCTCAAAGAGTCCTTCACCCTTTATGGCACAGGTTTTAAAAATGGCCCATTGGCGGTTTTTTATTTTGTGCAATTCCAAAGCCTCAGTCACAGCAGCATCATCTAGTGCACCAGGGAGATCCTGTCCATTCAAATCCAGAGTGTTTTTTTGGCCAACTAAATTCACGACTTTAAAATCCAAAAAATTGACCAAAATTGTGAAAATCACTATTAACTCATAACAATTTTCTCCTCATAGAGAGTAATACTATGCAAACAATGCCAGTTGTGCTTTTTTCCTTTTTTTAATAGCAGAGAATAGGGAAGAAAGAATGTTCACCTGCTTGTTTGCAAAAATTAGGGCTATTGCACCTTTCAATTCGTCCTCCTGCCCAAAGAGTTCAACAATATAGATTAGCATTAAGAGATGTCCCAAACTTAAAGAAAGCAAGAAGCGGTCAGATAGTTTGTGGAATTGTGGATGCAAACATAAGCATATATTAACAGATGATCCAAATAAGAGGGAAAATCTCAAGACTCAAATGAACATAGATTTGCAGGGTTGAAATTTGAAGACCAATTAGACAAATCTTTTCCCTTGGTTTTAACTATAATAGTTTATCAAACATGAACAATGCTAGGAAGTAATATGATCATAAAATTACTCATATCAAAGACTAGTTAACAAATATAGTAGAAACTAGAGTGTGACAAATGTCTTGGCCCCAAGTTACAAGTTTACTTTAATCTTATGCCATGTGTATTTGTTGCATCTACAAATATAACAAGACATTTGTCCAGTCCACAACTTCATGAGACAAAAAGTTTTACTAACAATAATAGCTTTCAGAGTTGCGTTAGTAATTACACTGACTTGATTCAACAATATATTGGCAACTTAAAAACTTGTATGCTTTGCTGTTCCATTCTGTCCTTAGCTATCTATCGCCTCCTAACCCATCTCTTTCTCAATTTACGCAAACAGATCAAAAACTAGTCTCAAAGTAAAAAGGAAAAATATCCTTCATTTGACAATCTACTGAATAAATAATAATAGTACTACTTTGTAAACATGTCTTAATCAAGAGATTACCTCCAAAATGGCATGAAATTCCTCTTTTGCTATTCCAATTCTGTCAGTGTCACTTGAATCAACAACATAAATTACTGCCTGAGTATTTGGAAAATAGCATCTCCAGTACGGCCTGTAAACAAATATAAAAATATTGCCGAAAAAGGAAAAAGGCAAAGGCAGGATCAACAGGCAAAGGCCAATTAGGTTGTCTATTATACACCATACATAGAAATAATCAATGAAAAGGTACACATTGCGCCAACAAGCTAGAAAGGTATACAATGCACCAACTAGCTAGAAAAGGTAGCCAATGGGTGTGCAAGGGGGAAAATTAATGATCTCCAATACCAAATAAGAAAATCCAGCCACCCCATGTGGAAAGGGAAAAAGAAGAAGTGTCATTCTTCTCTACATTTGAGGGAAGCTCATTGGAGAAACACAAACTTCTATCCATAATCACCAAAGCAAGAGCACAGTTCTAACACGTACAATAATATACATAAATCCAAAAATGATTCTAAAGGGGTTACCTGATGCTTGTCTGACCGCCTGTTTCAGAAAACATATTCATCTAATTAGAACAACAAATTGGCTTGACCAAAGACAATATTGCATGAACAAGAGTAATATACCCAACAGAATTAATTGCTAAAAGGTTATACATAAAATTCAGCACCTTAAAAGTAACTTACAATCCAACTCAAGCTTTAGCATGCTTGCCAAAGAGATTATTCACCACTATGGATAATTGCAATGATTACAGACAACAGTAACATCATGAACTCACCCAAATCCCACACCTGGAACTTAATGTTGTTGTATTGTACTGTTTCCACATTGAACCCAATTGCTACATCCAACCAAATCTAAATGTCAATCAGAAAGTTGAATACCAAACCAAACAAAGAAATCATAAACAAAAAGAAAGGGTTATCCAAACTCACTCGGAATTGTAGAGACTACCTCACCCATCTGAAGCCGATCTGCAAAAGAGCAGATGAATGAACAAACAAAACCCAGAATATAAAATTAGAAGAGTATAGAGAAATCTTAAACAGAATAACAGATTGAGAGGGGGTTGGAAAATACAGAGAATGGTGGTTTTTCCGGCATTGTCTAGGCCGAGAACAAGGATTCGAGCTTCTTTGTTGCCGAATAGAGAAGAAAACATCCGAGTAAACAGAATTCCCATTCTGCTACTCTCTTGTTGCTCCTGCCGCTGCTGTTTTTCCGATCGATTAGTGGATTACGAATCCGTTCGGGGGATCCGGTGGTTCCGACTATTTCATAAATTCTTTGATGAAGTCAGGGGCTGGAAGTGCTGACTGCTAACCAGAAAAAGTAATGCTTGGCTTTTCCGTCCGGACTTCATATGAGGAGCGCCTCTAATGTCGGGACTCAGGATCTTGTTTAATAAATTTGATTATGAAACTGAATAGTATTTTTATTAATAAAAATTTGATTAAATTATATTTATTTAAAATTTTTAAATTTTAAATTTTATATTATCAAATAGTTAATCTTTTATTTATATATATATATATATACCATACAATGCTTTTTTTAATTAATTACAAA